GACATCAAATGGACCGCTGTGAAAGGTAGCCAAGTTAAAACTATGCCCAACGCTCAGGAAACAAGATGCTGCTTATAAAACATCGCCGAACATTTTCATATTTGCACTTTGATTCTCCCGAACAATTATATTCAGCAGCAATGAATCTTGGCGCACTTTGTTCTTTTAATCGAGAAAAGCGTCGAACATAAGTGGAACTACGACATGCTAGCCTTTCAGCCTTTCCTTTACTATTTGAGTCAAGTCATAATCACTTCACAATAAATCGAAAATGACTTTAGAAGAATTCTCGAGTTCCCTTTGCATCACGTTTCTTGCATAATACTCTTCCGTTCTTTGTCTTAAAATTCAGCACCAACAGGATAATCGCGTTCTACTTGAGAGCTTGGAAAGGATTTCAGAGTTAATACGGCCACAGACTTGCAAGAATAATCAGAGAGACAGAAAAAAAAAACGCGCTGAGAATAGAGTAAGACTACGTGTGTCAGAACTAGAACATATAAATAAATACAGTTCAAAAAACAAATGCCCAAAAATTCCTCCTTTTCTCCTGGTCTTATTTGCAAAGAAAAAAAATGTAGCATGAAAAAATCAGGAAAGTCCGCTATACGCAACGTAGAAGTGGCATGGATCACGCAACACAATTTGAAAAGGCGGATACGCAGGTCACCGTGGAATTTGCTGCTCTCTTTGCAACCGTCGCAGTAGTTGAATAATAAGGCGCCATTTTACACTGATCACATTTCGAAAGAAAAATGGGCTCGAAAAAAGAGGAGTTGGACCAAGAACATGAGCAAGATATGCAGCAATGGAAATTCTACAACTAGCCTTGAAAATACAAAATTGAATCAAACAGATTTGCAAAATCGCTGAAGCGGTCTTACAAACGCGATCATCAAGATTTTTACAGAGAGATTTATTCATGTTCAGCCTTTTATCTCAATTTCAGGAACAGTACACTTGTTGGTTCTCATACGAACACGCCACATAAGATCTCTTTTTATGAAAAATAACTCGCAAACCTTATCTCCTTTCTGCCGCACGTTCACTACAGCTCCACAGATGTACTCGCCCAAATCCTCAAACTGCTCTCCAATGATCGCCATTAAAAGTTCCAGCCAGTAATGGTCAAGGAGTTGAGCTCGACGCTACAAACAAGCACAGTTACTGGGCAGGCGCAGTAAAAAAACACAAAATATAGAATTCTCAAAATCAGGCGACAAATTATTTCGAGCCTTATGGTTGCAAAATGGACAACATCACCCGTTGCTATCGGGTTGATGTATTCAAGCCAGTCTACCCACTGCAAGTTTTCGGAATCCTAATTCACGAAATCAAAAATGAGCATGGAGTTTAAACGTTTTTGTCCAGTTCCTTTATAACCTCTACTTGTAATTCAAGATCACCTCGGAAATCTAGGAACGGCAATAATGATTTTTATGGTAAAGATTTACATGACCCGACTGGCCATGTTGATCTGTTGGAAAGCACCAGCAAAATAATTTGTTCCCTGCTCTCTGCACAGTAATCAGATGAGAACAGAACCCAATGGAGATACTGCCCGATCTCAATGACAGACATGTAATCAGGGACGAGATCCCAATTTAAATCAAAGCACACGTCAGTTTACTTAAACGCGATCAGAGCATGGAATATGGCCACCTGTCAAATTGAGGCAAAGTGACAGGTGGGGGGTGTTTGAAGAAAATGATCAATAAATACTGTTCGCTCTTCTATAATTCTACTGTTTTAGGCCTTTGATCCACCACTGAAAGATGCAAAAAAGTCAACTAAGCACATTAGGCTTCTCCAAGCCGCAAGGAACATTAATTTTTCATCATTCACTACATCATGAACCAAAGTAGAAATTACGGTTGCAATCTCAACGTGTAAGTGTGCACAACAATAAAACATACTAACCACTAAATTTACCTGTTTGTCGACAACAACAAGCCAACGACCACCTTTAACGTTGCTGTCATCCTCCCACATTGGCTTTATACCCTAAAACCGGGTTTAGACTATCGATCCATGACCTCTTTGAAAACTAATTTGCAAATGGATATTTATAATCAGCAAAGAAAATACCTCCTTGAAAAGGTAGTAGTCTGATCCCCAGTTGAGACCACTTGCTGTTTGTATGTGATTGTAAAGAGCCCAAAAGTCTTCCACAGTATCAAAAAGTGAAACCATCTGAAAGCAAAAATGAGCGTTCAACACTGGATGTAGGTTTGAAAAAAATGGCGAATCTTGATAGGGCGAATCTTAATTGATATTTTAAATGCTAACCTTGAGACAGTCCTCCCACTCCTTATTTCTATCCGCCTTCAAATACCATAGTGCCCATCTTGACTGCAAAGGATGACGAATTAGCAGCTCTTGTGGTAGTCCAACGACTGAATCACCCGCGCCTTTGTGCTGAAATTCAATATATCAAAAGCTTGAAAGCTAAGTATGCGCTTACAGAAATACACACCGTGGAAGGTAAATTGGTAAATTAATTCGGTGAATTACGACAGCACAAATGCAGTGCTAACACGAATGATTTCGTATTCCTTACAAAGACCTCGGGAAAAGTGATATGAACCAGAAGAGATTCAAGTACAACAGATTTTCATTCGCTGTTCTTTCGTGATTCCCCTTTCCAATCTCCCTTATTCTTTACTGAGTATGACGATTTTTTTTCCTTTTGTAACCTCATTACCCTTATCCAACCTCATTAATCAGACTCTCTTCTAACCCATTAGCTACTAGTTGTTCTTATTAAAGTCGAACTCAGTCAAGATGGCCCTCCAATTTGGCAACAACTCGTTTGCATACGCTGTGGTAGTTTATGACGCGCTTACCACGCGAGCGGTCCGGGGATCAAATCCTGGGTCGTGAGTCGCCCGGGCCAACCAAGCCTTCCATCCCTCCGGGGTCGGTTAATTGGTACCAGACTTGTCTGGGAGGATAAAAACACTGACTTGTACATCGGCTGGCCCCCGCAAGTCATTGTATAGGCCACATCGCATTCAAACGCCACTACGAATGTACAAATGGAAGTAGAATGCGTGCCGCATCCCAAAAAGGGATTGATCAACGGCAAATGCTTTATCCTTACCATCAAATTGACGTTGCAACATATGTGCCCTCTCAATTGACGAATGAAGAACACCGCACTTTCTAAAAAAAACCGCCGGCAGCCGCCTAAATTTCTATTTCTTGCTAACCTCCACAGGTTCCGCCTAGCCCGATCCAACACGTGATGACAGCATGAACTGATGAAAGGAAAGGGGAATGCATTCGGTGTGATCTATCGCTTTTTGAGAGACGTTACGCAACCTTTCCTTATTCAAGTCGTATGACACTACGAATGCGACTTGCCGCCCTGTACAATGGATGTGGACCAGCCGACGTACAAGTCAGTGTTTTTATACTCTCAGGCAAGCCTGGGAAGGGGGAAGGACTCTGTGAAGTGTGAGTAATTTTCATTTTACCAGAGTCCGTTGTGATTCCAAGCTTGGTGCTGGAGGCGCACCAAGATGTGCCCCCTCCTCTCAAAGTGCACGAGTGCTGGCGCTTGCACGGTTGCACTTTTGTGACATTTTTATGATGTTTTCATTTTGCCTTTAACTTCGCCCTATAACATACAACTGCCTACAGTAACACTACGTGTCTGCAAATCTATTTGCCAGCATCACCTAATGGATAAGTCCGTGTGCATTCTGAAGAGGAGATATTCGCGAGAACCCCAAACGCCCCCTTTCCAGGCTTCGGCAAAACTGTGCAAGAATTGTGCGGCCGGGGCACCCACCCACCCAGAAGTGGCACCCAGCTCTACTAGACATCACGCCGCCTCGGCCATCTCGTTCGCGTTGGAGTCCAGGAGGTAAGTAAAGGTCATTTTAA